GGTTGTTGGCAGGGAGGTGGAATTGAAAAATGGTCTTTAAAATTATTGGCAAGATATTCCTTAACATTTGTGCTTTTGTTTTCTCCATAATGTGAGAGAATTTTAGAACTTTAATCGTAATGTTTGCAGGATATGTGGCATTGCGAAATATGCAACCGCAAGCCTGGTCGTGGTTTTGGTATGTTTCTTCTTGCCACTTCCTTTTATGTGTTATTTTCAAGCAACTTACAAATACTTCTGAATTGATAGCTTTTTTTGAAAAAAAAAATTCAATTTTTAAAATCTCTTTTTTGTGTTATTGTTTGATACGTCATCTTATTTTCTCAATGATAGTTAGGGACAATCATAAATATTTGTGGAAAGGTAATATTTTGTTACATTAATTTCATCTCATGTAAAATGCAACTTCTGCTCTCTCTCCCAATTGCGCATATACCACTCATTTAATATTCTTTATTGTTAAAAAAGAAAAGTGCTGGCTTGGATAAAGATCAACTCCCAAAAAAGTAAAGGAACTTTTACCTTTCTCCATTTCTCGCTCTCTTTCTCACTCTCGTTGGCACTAGAATTGAAGTTGGTTGTGTAGGGTAATTATTGTTATTGAATTCTTTTTGCATTGCAATTCCAGAAACAACTGCTGAGGTTTTTCCCAGGCTATTCAAAATCAAGTATGACAGTGGCACTTTAGAGGAGCTTCTGTATGTTGATATGCCCCATGAGTATCAGAATGCAAATGGACAAATTGTCCTTGACTATGCAAAAGCGATACAAGAGAGTGTGTTTGAACATCTTCGTGTAGTGCGTGATGGTCAACTTCGTATTGTTTTCTCCCCAGATCTTAAGGTTTAAATTTGTTAAATCCTCTGCTCTCTGTGAGTTTTTCAAATCCTGATTGTTATTGTTTGACATTTGTTTTTATATGATTTACTCAATACTTTCTAGATCTGCTCCTGGGAGTTCTGTGCTCAGCATCATGAAGAGCTTATACCTCGAAGATTGATCATTCCCCAGGTGATGATTCTGATTTTTGAAAGTTTTGCTCAATTTAATTGGGAACAAGCATGAAGATATTGCTACAGTTGATGAATCTCGGACGCATTATTCAAATGATTAGGATTTGATTTCCTAGTTACTAGAGTTTGAGAGGCAACATGTAGAACTGCAAGTAAACTGCTTATGACTGAAAAGCCATTTTATAGATGAAGGAAAAATTTTATAGACCTGTTAGAGAAGGCTAGCTATACTGTGTGGGATATGGTGTTGGTAGGTATTCATATGATAAGGATGTTGGAGTGAGGTGCGACAATATAGGAAATGACCCTACTTGAGGCCAATGATCTTGGGAATCTCTCCCATATGCCTATTTTGTCTTGTTTACTATTGCTTGTATCTCTTGGCGATTTCTTCTGTGTTTAATTATATAAGGAACATTGTCAAGTTTTCTTTATGGATTATGATAAATTGAAGATAATTGCTTTGCATACAGGTTGCTTTTTTTTTTTAAATATATATATGGGGTGACTTCTTTGGTGCTTTTAATACTATCATTTTTATTTAAAAGAAGATAATTGTTTTAGAACATGGACAATTTATTCAAGCTCATAATTCCAGGTAAGTCAGCTTGGAGCTGCCGCGCAGAAATACCAGGCTTCTGCTCAAAATGCATCATCCAACTTATCCTCACCTGACTTACAAAGTAACTGTAATATGTGAGTTATTCTCTAGTAGCTCTTCTGATCATTTACTATAAGGGAATAACGCTATATCTCCAGTTCCCGTTCCTCTCTCCATTTTCAATGGCTTGTTGCTCTTCAAATAGCTGATTTCTCTCTCTAACTACTTTTTAATATGATGAAACTTGCATGCTGTGCTGAATCACCTCTTCTCCTGTATCTTCTTTTTCCTTATTTACTTTTCTGGCTAATGGTTCTCAAAGTAATCCTCCCTTAGCTTTGAGCATATTTTCACAGTCCTGGGTGGAGATATTGTTATCTTGCATTTTTTAGTATCTCATTCTCTCTCTCTCTCCTCGGCTTTTTTTTCCTTTGTACCTGTGCATGCATTATATATGCTCAATCACTAGTGCAAAATGCCCATTTGCATGGCTGGGTGTGTTTGAGTACACATCCTTGAAATACTGGAGAACTTAGAACTGGTTGATGGTCAGATTTCATTATTGGTTTTCATAGGATTTTCCTGCCTACCAAATGGGTAAAAACTAACAGTATAATGCATATAACTCTATCTAGCAAAGATGGGACAAATGGTAATTTCCTATTTTTCTAATTCTTAAGGCATATTTATTTCAATGTTTTTAAGTCTAATGATTTATATAAAATAAGAGATATAATATAATACACACATTTAGTTTTGTTTTTCTTTGAAGATTGTGTCTTTTGACTTCATTGGGGAATTGTTATTATAGAGTTTGTCACCACAGTATAACTTTATAAATGTGCAAATTACCGTTAAAACTTTAAAGTACCAATCACAGATTAGATTGGATTCTGAATTGATATCTTATCCTCCTTTTTCTACTTGTTTTCCTTATAAATAAACTTTCTTCTTCTATCAAAAGGAAAAAGATAAGATATTGGATTCTTAATTAACGAATGTTTAAACGGATCTTTTTGCTTCCTAAAAATGTTCCTTTAATGACATTTAGTGAAATATAAAATTATTAGATTGATAGTTTTTTGGAAGCAAAGCAAAGGAGTTACAAAATTTTATGAATCATTGATAATGTATACATAAGAGAGATAACCATGCTGCCAAGGTTTACACGTGAGAGTGGGTATAGCTAGACCGTTGTACAGCACAATAGACAGAAGATCTTCTAACTTCTACCTGAATTCATGTTGTATTTATTTGATTCTTATTTTGTAGTAAAAATTCTAACTTATCTTTCGTATATATTATCAAAATGTTGATTCTTTAATTTTGAATGTAGTAAAAATTATTTTATGTCAGTTAATCAAGATCCAAGTTGTTCATTTGAACTTTTAGTTAAGTTCACTTTTTAATGGATATTAGATAGTGGAGAACTTTGATGTCACAGTGATTCTTTGAATCTGCCGCTCAAACTTTAACCTTATGAATAAATTCATAGATATTCTAGTGCTATACTAAAATTTTTGGCCTGGTTTGTGATACTACTTTTATGATGTGTTATTTACTTTCTTCTAACAACCCGAATTAATTGACTATATGTGTAAGCAAATTATGGAAGTATTTGTTAAAACGGGTCTTGCTTTGGTTAGTTCAGGTGTTGGCCGATTCATATTTGAGTCATTGATTGACAATGTATGAATTTGTTTGGAACTTTATTTTGATTCTATGTTGTATGGTTCCACCAATCAATTTGAATTTTCCAGGTTTGTTGCATCAGCTCGTCAATTAGCAAAAGCCTTGGAGGTGCCTTTAGTGAATGATTTAGGATATACGAAAAGATATGTACGGTGCCTTCAGGTATTATGTAATACACAGCTCATTTTTGTCGTACTCTGAATTCTCTAGAGTGATGTCCTTTACCTGCTTTATACCTCTAACTTTAGCATGTGGGGCAAGTATTTCACTGCTGTGAGGCAGTTCGGACTAACATGGGTATTTTCTTGTGCATTGATCATGAGACTCTCTATGCATGCATGATCCACAATGCCTACAGTCCAAGTTTTGGCTATATGTTACAGATTTTATTCACGGTTAAATAATCTGTTTCAAATTAGCAACTGATATTTGGAGTCAGAAAAGGCAGATACGAAATTTCATCTGCAACACTGAGTGTATTGATAATCTCTATGTTGCACAGGAAAAAGGAAAACAAAAATAAACGGTGAATGTCTTTCTTAGGGAGATTGATAGTGGTGGTATACAAATGTCACATAAAAGAGTTACCTGATTTAAGGATATAAATGGACACTGCTAATTCTTTGATCATATTTTGCTTCTAACATCTAAATATATTGTAGGACTGAAGCAGTTAATTTCGTTAAATTTCTCATATTGGAGACTAACATATTGAAACTTCCCAAGATATATTCTATAGTTTCTTTTTCAGTCACAAGTGGAGAATTAGTATTGAAAATGCAAGGGTGCTTATATAGATAACAAGAATAAATACTGGCATTATTTGAAGTTTTTATATCTACAAATCATCAAGATTCAGTCCAAACTAACTAGATTTATTTTCTTTTTTAAGGAAGATCTAACCTGTTGTTGCATATTTCTTGAAGTTTATTTTCTTTTCTTATATAAAACAAAAAAGGAAGAACTAATCCTGTATGAAGAATCAAAGGCTAAAATACTGTTCGATTAAAAAAATTGGGTTATGAGTTTCTGGAACAGATTGCACACGGTCTAACTGAGTACTTCTTGGTACATTTTGTGGGCAAATTGCAGATCTCAGAGGTGGTTAATAGCTTGAAGGATTTAATTGATTATAGTAGAGAGACAGGGATGGGACCTATGGGTATGTCATACAGCATTCTACATTTTACCTATTTATAGTTATCATTTATATTATTTCAAAAAAAATTGTCATATATATTACCTGCTTTATTAACTAAAATTACTGATTGCTAGTGATGGTACTAGTCAAGAATGAAATATGTGTACTTTGTATGTTATGCTTTTAGAAGACATTTAGTATTTTGATGTGCATGCAAAGAAATTACTTTCTTCTTTTTAGATAATTTTCTTCTCTAATGTCTGCATCTTTGATGAAAACATAATGTTTTTGTTTTTTTGAGAGAGTTCTCTTTAGTTGAGTTGGGTTGAATGATTTCCAAAAGAAGGATATGCTGGGGAGGTAATTTTAGCCAGTGATGGGTCATTTGAAAAAAAAAAAAGATGAATCATACTGCCGGTAGTACGAGGGTATATTTCTCTTCTTTATGATCATAGAAGTTTCTTGGTCAAATACCTTTTCCTTTGCTCGTCTTCTCCTTGATCGCTGATTTGTTGTCGATACCATACTATTTTTCCTTAAAATCTTTAAACACTCTTTTGATTGCTAGGGAATATTGCTTTAAAATGTGCTTGGATATTATTACATCTTTGGATACGAAGGTTATTTCAAAAAAAAAAAAACAGACATCTTCGGATATGAAGGAAAACTCACAGGAATGTGATAGTTCAAAATATAATGATGTATTCCTTTTTTAGCAATAAGTGTTATGGCTTCTCCTTTTTGAGTTTCCCAGGGGATACTTTATTTTTTGAACTAGATGACGCCCACATTCTGGATTGTCTGCTAGATGTAGGAAGCTTGGTGGGATTGTTAACACCTAGTCCAGAGTGTTAATCTCCAGACTTGTTTTGATAATTTGTCATTCTATCTGCTCAGATTTCAAGGAGTATTAACCGTTATTAGTTTTGATGGCAAAAATGGACCATCACTGGCTTTTGGAGAGAGTCCTTACAATCTGCTTTGTGTGTAATAAATTGGAGTTATTGATGGTTCTGGCTTGACCAAATTATGATGCACTAATACCTACTTGCAGATCAATGAGAGATAGTCACCTTGTAAACTACAATAATTGTTAGGAGTGACTGACTATCTTTGTTCAGCATTATGGGGAATGGAACCTGGCCTGGTTTGTAGTTACAGTCTGGAGAACCTTATGTGCTTTAGATTGTGAGGAATTTGACTCAAGGTTTTACCCCTGATTGATTTTAAGAGTTTGAGCTGTACCAGCTTTCTCCTAGGAACCTGAACTCTATTTTCTGTCTTCCATTTGAAGCGAGTTACTTGCATCATAAGTCCTTGAATTTGATATTGCCAATAGGGAGCTGCTCTAATTTGAGGTAGATTGTTCTTGTGAGAACAAGGGCCAACAGAGTCCAGGGTCTCTCTGGAGCTAATCAATTTTCTGGGAAGATCACTAGCTAGGTGGTCTTTTGATCAGGATATGATCTTGTTGATGCAGAAAGGCATCAATGACAGGCTTGATTGTTGAGCCAAGGAATCTGTTAAAGAGGATGCAAGATGGCATCAGAACCTTTTTAGTCCATATTCTGCGGCTATTTGAACAACAACTCTTACTTTTAAGCAGATTCTTTCAGTTGCCTTTGTAAAATAAAACTGTGCTCTTAATTAAATGAGTTAGCTCGGTTATGGTTGAAGGTTATTGATCTCCACTTTTCCCCCTTAAGAATATGCTTTTCTTTGATGAGGTCGTCATGGTATTAGCATGTAAATTGCTTCTATTAGTCATGGATAAGTGTAAATTCCTCCTTGCTGCACTGTGTTGTGAGTGTTTGAATCAGAGTTTGTGCCAGAGATGATTGTGATAAAATCACGGTGGATTTTCCCTTATATTCCCAAGCAACATACCTTCCAGCCAATGTCTTATCAACTTAAGATAACATTTTAGTTAAATCTTAATTACTAATGTGTATATAGGCATGTGTATGTGTGTGGAGATGAGTTTGATAAACTCTTGATATCCTGCTTTTTATAAGTGTGTATTTATGTGTTTGCTTAGCCAAAAAGGAGTAATGTAAGGTTGTAGCATAAAATATCTTGCTTCTCTTAGTATTCTGTTTCTTTTGTGTGAATTGCAATACTGGTGCATCTTATAGTGACACATTTTCATTTGATAATACATCATTGATTTCTTCTTTCCTCAGAAAGTTTGGCCAAGTTTACTAGCAGGAGCAGTCAATTACCAGGGGTGCTTGGTTCTTCTCAGCAACCTGAGCAGCAGCAGCTTACCTTAGAGGACACAAAGAATGATCATCATCCTATACAGGCAACTGCTGTCCAGCGTAATAAAAGCAACAGTGCTACAAATATAAGCAATTCACAGGGTGCGACATCCACCTCTACATCTGCCACCAACATTGTTGGATTACATCGCCAGAATTCTATGAACTCTAGAATTGAAAATCAGATGAACAATCCAAGCAGTCCCTATTCTGGAGCCCCAGCTCAGATCCCATCAGCAGGTTCTTCAACTACTCTGCCACCAGCTCATCCCAATCCCTCTTCTCCATTCTCTTCTCCGACTCCGTCCTCATCAATCAATCCTCAGAGTACCCATAATACCTTAGCAGCATCAGCGAGTGCAAATCACATAAATTCTGCAAATTCACCAGCACAAATACAGCTGCAACAGTCATCTCAGTCAAATGAGGATGACCATGAATCACCAAGCTCTGTTGAGAAAATTATACAAGAAATAATGATTTCTTCACAGCTTAGTGAAGCTGGTAGCCTGGTCGGTGGTAGTTCTGTAGGGAATAGCACAAAGAACTTTAATGGACTCCCACAGATTAGTCAGAATTCTCTTACCAGAGGCAATTGCCTGGGAGGAAATGTGAATAACAACTTAGGTACAGGTGGTGGGGGTTTTGGGAATTTAGGAGGTGGGATTGGTCTCTCTGCCAATTGCAGTGGTATCAGAGGTGGCCTGGGAAATAACCCATCAAATTTGGCTGGAAGGATGGGCATGCCTATGCTGCCTCAAGATGCTGGCTTGAATCATCAGCAACAGGAATTATCTAATAATAGGTTATATAATGGGCTTGGGACTGCAAATGGCTTCAACGATTTTCAATTTGATTGGAAATCTCCCTGAAGAGGCTTACTGATCTTTATCTCCTTTTCTGAGAGCTTTGTGTGTTTGGAGAAAATGAGTATTTCTAGTGGTGCTTATGCATGTGAATCTTGGATTGCTGACTGCCTTTGAGATTTGAAGCTTGGTTTAAGTATCCTTGACTTCTCCTACCTTGGTGGTGCTGTTATTGAGAAACAGAAAGAGTAGAGAGCTTTAGTCTTCTTCTGGACTGCCTTGTGAACTGGGAGTCTTCATGAGTACTTTGTGGAGCTGCCTGGATCCGTGTAAATATGGATATTTTCATGCTAGTTACAGAGGATTTCTTCTTGCTGGTACTGATTTTATAGAGATGGAAGAAATATGACTTGTGTTGTTGCATATTAAGGAAAGGTTTGTGATTTACATCTGTTTCTTTCCCAACCTAATCCTTGCCTTTTTGTTCTGTGAGTGTACTTTTGCTTGCGGGGTGACCTATTGGAGGTGTTTGTGTACGTATATCGTTTTTTTTTTTTTTTTTTTTTTTTTACATGGCAAATTAATTGACTGGCAACAGATGTCCTGGTCTTTCTTGGTTGCCAAGAGTTTTCAGAGGGAGCTTCACAATAACTACCAAAGATTGAAGTGCACTCGCACTGTATTGCATTTGTATTTTTGATATTCTTCAATTTTAAATTCCAAGACAGAAACTTCAGTCTCACATAGAACAAGAAATAGGATTGCAAATAACATGTTCACAGGTCAAAGAATAGCATTTTAAAAGCTCAATCAAGCGTCAAAAAGAAATTCAAACATGTATGTGGTACATGAGTACTCTAAGATGGTAAAGGTACAAGTTAAATTTTCTTAATTATTTTTTGCTGTAAATAAACATTAATAATTTCCTAGAATTTGTATCTACAACAATATTTTTATATATTTTATTATACTCAAAACAAAACAAAGGCTACAGTCTGACTGAACACGCATTTTACCTAAAAAATAAACTGGAAGTACAATTTTTTTTTTCTTTCTTTTTTTTTTTTTTTAATACTAGCGTCTAACCAAATAATTTTCATAACTATAGGGATAGGAGACCATGTTTACAAAATTTAGGGAGAGAGATTCATCTTCTATGAAATCTTTTATTGCATCTTCATGTAACAATTAGTGAGAGTTTCTTAAAAGTACAGTTAGCGATACCGTTCCTCACTTGTGAAGGAGAGTAAAAAGTTACACAGGATGTGTTCTTCCATCGTCTATGTCTGCTGATCTCTCCAGACAGCATATGTTTAAGAATAATTTTTTGATTTTCTATTAATGATCATGAAACTAATGAACTTTTTCCTCTTTTTTAAAAATTATTTCTGCTTCTTGCCACCAGCCAAAATACGTTGAATCTGAAGCCCTCTACTGAAAGCTTGGTTGAAGAGCAATCTGGTCTGGAACTCCGAAACAAATGGGAACCAGGCCAGTACAGCCACTGGCATGAAGATGACTACGCCCATAATGTACTCGTATCCTCTAGCTAATGCTTTGACAGAGCCCCACATTCCAAGAGCCCTCACCGGTTCCTTGAAGGCTTGTGATATCTGATGATAGCACCATGCTCAGTAATGAGCAATATGCATATGATCTTCAATAACAATCAACCACACTAATATCCGTTGCATTGCTACATAGCAATGGAATAAAATTTTTGGTAAAGAATGGAGGAAGGGAAAAAATGTTTTTGATTATTACTATTTGCTTATTGATAAAGAAATAAAGTATTTTCTTGAAAACAGCACGCGAAGCTAATAGGCAAGCTAAGAAATCAAAGTTCAGAAATCTAAGGAATCTATGTGCTTATGTGTACCATACCATTCAAATCAGCAAAGAAACGGAATTTCAACTAATATAATATGGATAAATATAGTAAGTGAATGCAGTAAACTTATTTCTGACGCGTGCACCAAAAACAGTTTGTGATGGTTTCAGCATGGAAATTTAGTTGAAGAAAATAATATGTTCTACAAAATTAAACAAGGATTTAGAATGAGTTACGTGCCTGTAGAAGTGCCCATCCTGTAGGCAGAAAGGCAAGTAGGCTCTGGAAGATGTCCCCCACCGTGAGTTTGAGGAAATGAAACAGCATACCTAGGACAACCATTGATCCGATAAAAAGGAACACCTTGAGAAGTCTGAACATTAGCTGGAAATCTGCACTGAACTTCTTTCTACCCATGGACACGATCTGCAGTTTTATGTGCCACCCAACTTAGAAGCAAGCTCAAAAGCAAATATAGCAATAATATTAAGAATAGCCTTTAAGATGAATATGGGTCACTGACCTTTAAGATGATCATTACTGCAACAATAACCAGCCAGGATAGACCATAAACCTGATGAAATCATCGAATCAAATTTAGATTTTCTTTTTAATTTCCACATTCTACACCTCCAAGTTCTCTCTCCCTCTCTCTCTCTCTTCTCTCTATATCTATATGTATCAGACATATCTTTTTCTTTTCACTTTACGGCTATAGGCCCTGTAGGAAATGGGTATTGAACCCATAAGAACTAACCCATGAAAGCTCCTAAATTGGGAAGATACGGGATCAGAGCCAAAGGCTCTTGGCTTGCAAGTTCGAGATATTATTAAATGTCATGTGGTAACTTAGGATTCTCAATTCACTTGACAACAAATAAATGGAGGAAAAAATCATTATAACGTCAAGTAATCATATTATACTTACAATGATACTCTGCTTTTGACCAAGTCTGCTTTCTTTTGTCAAATTTAACTGGTAGACAATTCCATATTGATAAAGGAAAAAGCGCAGAGATAGAACTAGTTCAATGATCTTCCCTGAAATCCCAGTGTACTGCAGGTGTTCCTGTTCTTCCTCCCACCAGGATTCCCAGCTCTTGTTTGCCGGTACGCCAATACCACCTCCGCTGCTTATCCACTTTGCCCAGTCATCCCAATCTTCTACTATCTTTTGCCATTCAAATCCTGAAGGGTTGAAAAGGAAAGGAGCGAACAACCAAGAACCGACCAAAAACCACATTGAGACTGTAACCAAGGTGTAAGCCATAGTGCCATCTGCTTTACCATATATCTTGTAACATACAAGCAATATCATAAGCTCCATTGCCTCGCCCACGTGACTCCTTGAATACATCCTATAGTTTTCTGCAAATTTCTCATGCCGGACCACAAAGCCACGTCCAGTTGCTCTGTACTTTGCCCCACCATGCAGGATAGTTCGTCCAAAATAATGGACCTTTGTTCCAAGAGAGAAAGTGAAAAAAAGGGGTGCTAACTGCAGCTGCATGATTACAAAATCACCCAAGGCAGTTCTGAATCCTCTCTCTAATCCAATCTCCATGACCATTGGCAAGATCATCAACAGACCTAATTGAACAACAGTCTGCGAAGCCATGGCTGCCTTTAGAGGATCATTTCCCTTAGCTCTGGCAAACCGAACGATTGACTCCTCCAATCCACTCAATGACATATAAAGTCTTCCATACAAGAAAACATATACAGTGATGACAACCAGCTGTACATTGTAAAAGGTTTTCTGTTAGCCAGTGAGAAAGAAGTACAGTAGATTGAACAGTAGTAGTTGCCAGACATCTTAAATTGACAAAACTAAGCTCTTGTTTTGAGATTGGAGAGCGAGAAAGTTTTAACTAAGCTCTTGTTTTAGCCACCTCCTTACTGACTAACTTACCAAGTTTTATAAAATAATTTAATTGGATAATTAATTAACCTAAAATAAAAAAAAAACTATGAAATATGCTACTAATTCTCAGTCTGCGATGGATGCACAAGCTATTCAGTATACACCCGTTCATTGAGTTCATCATCTATATAGAAATTCTATTATAAGCACAGGAGTGACGAGGTGACTGCCAAAATTTGAACTCAACACCTCAAGCTCTAGTGTCATGTGAATTAATTTGAGTTGAGCTACGAACTATCTTAATAGTTCAAACCAATAAAAAATGTAAAATTTAGTATTTATGTTGAACTTTTTTTTTTCTTAACACGTATTTGAACAAAATGTTAGGCTAGACAAGTTCATGTATATGGTAAGATGAGCATCAATTATTCAATATTCAATATTCAATCCAGTGGTTCCACTTATCAATTGTGAAAAACGAGGAATTACCATTGAGCTGAAATAAAATCCAACAGTTGTAAAATAACAGGATAGCATGCGGAAAAAGTCAAAACGGTGGCCTAGTCGATATATATCCCTGCTCAAGGTCTGCTCCCCATTACCACATGCGACTTTTGCTTCGAAAAGGGAGACTTGATTGAGGCCCACATCCCGACCTTTCCCAACTTGAATGTACTCATGATGAGTAATATTTCCTCGTCTTAATGTGGAGTTGAAACCTACATAGAACAAAATGTCATGAAACTGAGAGATATCCACATGAAGTTCTGCTTTCAAAGAATACTACCAGCAAAGATATCCTCGCTCAAATTGATTCCAGATGATGCCTTGCTGATGCCTCCACGTGTTATATGGAAAATTCTATCAAACACGTCGGGATGACCATAGTGGAACCGAATCCTGAAACCAACCAATAAAACTTTTGTAGATCAGTGTTACCACATTTGCAAATCATCTTCTCCCCGTTCATTTATTACAAAGTTCCACTCTGCAACATGATTTTGAACCGATATTGGTTTAATCATCATGTATTTTTTGGAAATAGTTATGTAGCTAAGGCAGTGAAATAAGAGACGAAACACACTTCAAAGGTCTCGCAAGAACTCTCTGACCAATCGTGACAAAGCTGGTTTCTTGATTTGACATGAACCAAGCCAAAGAAGAAACACTGCATAAGAGGTGCAAAAACCATATATACAATCAGAAGTAGCAAAACTGGAGGATCTAGATATAAAAAAAAGCTTATGAGTTTAAGAAAACTATTAGAACACCTAAATGATAGGAAGTCATAAATCCAACCTTCCAGTAAATATATGCTCACGACAACCCAAAATTGTTGGTGGACGCACTCCATGATCTTCATTAAATTCTTCAAGTAGGTTGCGCATTTTGAGTGCTTCTTCCAAATAATTGTCCTACAGGTAAATTAGTTTATGGATCCATGCCTATTTTCGCAGAAAGGTAAACCAGAAATGCAATACAGAAGTTTTTCATTGTTTACCTGATTCATGTCAATAGCTTGAAGAGCTTCTCCTCGTGTAAAAACTATTGCATGGTTCTGATTTTCAGGCTTCCCCTCTCCTAATTTTACGGGGCCAGGTAATTTGATACGATAGATTTCCTTCAGAAAATATTGAACTGTAAGAATTTCCGGTTCATTCTGTTAATGAAGTTATTCTATCTATAGGTCAAAAATTATTACCTGGTCAAGATTATCAACAGCTTTGAGCAACACAGAATAATACACTTTCTGTACTTTTCCTCCTTCTCGTTCTTCAACTTCATCAATGTAAGCCACCCGGAGAGAAGGGTTACTGTAGGAGAAGCATCAGGAATCAGAGTCATGACTCTTGTAGAAAATGAATGATGGCAGCAAAATATTCGAACTGCAAGCCCTGTTAACTTCAATAGACAGAAAACATACTTAACCATCAAATTCAGGATGTCTGTAGCACGTCGATCTCCACTACGCTTCTGATTTCCATATATTTGACAGGTTGCAACATATGTAAATTTTAAGTCTGCTACTGCTTCTAGCTGGGAATACAAGGATCTATGACGTTTCTTGTCTTCCTCCGTTGGAATTGCCATGGCTTTGTAGCCTTGTAGTATCTCTGGTAGTATGAAAAAAAAAAAGGTAAACCAGCATTTCTACCTCAGTACATATCTACAACAGTGGATATTCAATTATGTTGCTTCTCAGGATAATCCTGCTTATAATATAATAGAAGCTTCCGATCTGAAAGCACTATAAACTGAGTTTGCTATCTCTTATGCTTCCTTGAACACCACTGATAACGAAGATTCAGTTTGGTGTTCATGAGATTAGTTATTTACATTCCAGCTTTCTTAAACGAATATTTAAAACACTGAAATAAAGTTCGTGAGATACCATCTTCGGAAGCCATGTCAAGAAAAGCCTGAAGCTTCAGAGCCCGTCTATAATACATCATCCCTCTAACTGCATCACCATTATTTATGAGTAATAAAATTTGAAATTGATAGCAGAGTTATAAAGGAAAAGATTATGTATCAGTCACCTGTTCTGAAGAGAGTTTGTCCTCTTAGGGAGGCCCAATGACGAAGCTGCAAAATGTTCTCTTCATTTTCCCAAACCTCACTTTCTCTTTTACAATTAAGTCTCTCCATGAAGTTGTTCCACTCATCTAACAAAATCAGAAGATTGCAAATATTGTCAACAGAAAAAGTCGGCAAAGTAAATAGAATATTGCACTATATTTACAAGTAGCTTTAAGCACCCTTTCAAATTTACTTGTTTGGTAATATGCCTATTAAATCGCAATAAGTAGCTTAAGCAGGGAAATAATAAGCACCTCCCCCCAAACTTTTTCTGTATTGACTTAGAATGCGTATTTTCTTAATAATCAGTTACTTATTCATTCACGCTTACTTTTTGACACAAAAAATAGTAAAAACTTATCTTTTGCAATAAATTCCTCTATTCAAAATATATAAGTGTTTATTTTTCTAAATCAATATTTAATTACATGAAGTAATTTAAAGACTCTTAAGCACATTTCTTTTAACAATCTCAAACACTCTCTAAAGAAAACTTAATTGTGAAATAGTGTACTATTCCAAACCTGGGAAGATCTTTTGCAAGTAGAATATGATTGATACACCATCCTCATTTTCGATCTCAAGATCAGTTTTTGAGTAGACAGTCTCCTCACTGTAGTATGGAGTCATGACACTAACAAATGCAAGAAAATACTTCATTAAAAGATTATAAATAATTTTTCTTCTTTTTCTTTCTCATGTTATCCTTATTGGGCGGGGGACACTTCCCAAGCTTGTAAGGAAAGAGTAAATACAGAATTCTGACAACTGGAATAACTGTTCAGATTAATTCCATGAGCATGTCTTATCTTTATAGGGATAATAATAATATAACAACAGCAGCAACAACCACAACAACAATAATTTTTCCAAAATAATTATCTCTGTGAAATGATATAGGTTCTTTAATGACATGAAGGAAATATATATTAAACCTGAATGAAAGCATTTTACGAACACGAGGTGCCCGTGGCATCTCCATGAACAACGAATTTGTGAAAAAAGCAATTCTTCTACGTGCTTCAAGGTTTGTTGGCACATCAACAGCAGATTCTTTCACTGTCAAGAGGAGATGAAGCCGCCTTATCTGAAAAACAACAGACAACCTTACAGGAGAATATAAAAGGTGAATATAAACTCTTCATAACACAGATAATGGTTCAACCAAACAAAAAGTCTCTTAAGTCTAAATGTACCTGTTCATCCCAATGTGCTGTAACCACAGGAGGGAACAATATAGCAGGTTTTGAGTCAGTGCCAGCAAAAATCTGCCTTCCAGATTCCTTGTTAGTATGCCCAAGTTCTACCAATTCACTGACAAATTTGCGTAGGCATCAGATGTTAGGTTTCACACAAGAACCACTTGCATCACCTCAATATTCCCCAAATTTATTTTATCTAATTACTATTTGTTAAAAGTTCACCAACCGGATCTCGTTCACCATCATATCACGGGTAACTACTTCTAACATATCTTGCAGCAATAACACCACGGTATCTCTCTTGGATGGATCACCATCTTTCTGCAACATGAAGGAAAGGAATAACTAAAGATAGTATGGAACCATACTGCCCACATGATTAATATACAACAGACTCACCAAAATTTCCACAAGCTCCACAAATTTGCTGCAAAGAGTGGGTAGATAGCTCATTCTGAAATTTGTGAGAAATGTATTCTTTGATATATTGCTCTCAACTTCTTTGATGATAATGCCAATTATCCTGTTACATTACAAATGAAATTAGGAGTTCTTTTGATGACAATGAAATCCAAATAATGCCAATTATTTTCTTTTGATGATAATGCCAATTTCCTAACTCTTAATGTTCAATGTCAAGCAGGTTACACCCTATTTGTTAAACCTTTTCTTGGTGGAAGGATATCTATCATAATTCTTTATGTAGATGATATTATTTTGACAGGAAATAATGCAGAGGAGATTGGAGAGCTTAAGAAAGTTCTACCTCATGAATTCGAAATCAAAGACTTAGGAAATATTAATATTTCCTCAAGATGGAAGTTATAAGGTCTTAGTCAAAAAGTGTTGTTTCACAAAGAAAGTATGTCCTTGGTTTACTCAAAGAAAAAGGAATATTGAGCAAATACTCCAATTGGAGTACTCACCAAAAAGGGAGAAGGAAACAATCTTCTAGTTGACAAAGGAAGATACCAAAAGTTAGTCAGAAAACTCATTTATCTCTCACACAAATGATCAGATATTGGCTTGCTTTTAGTGTGGCTAGTTAGTTCATGAATAATCCTACTGAATAACGCATGGATAGACTATATCATATTCTAAGGTATTTGAAAAAAACTCCTGGAGAAGACCCTCGCTTCAATAAGACTAAAATAGAGGAAATATCGAAGTGTTTACTAATGCAGATTGGGCTAGGTCAGGTAATGATTGAAGATCTATTTTGGAATACTATACTTATGTGTCGCTAAATTTGGTTACCTGATGAAGCAAAAAGCAAATATTGGTTGCTTAAAGTAGTGCAAAATCCGAGTTCAGTGCTATCGTCCATAAGATATGTGACGGAATATGATTAAAATGGTTACTCAGCAAACTTAAAGTTCAAGTAAGCAATACCATCAATATAATGTGTAATAACCAAGCTGCTATAAGTATAGTTAAGAATCCTTTTCTCATGATATGACAAAACATATGAAATAGATAGATATTTCATCAAGGAGAAGATAGAAGGGGTATAATTAACATCTCCTACATTCGCACTAATCGGCAAAGAGCAGATATTTTGAGTAGATGCTACCAGTAGCACAATTTGAAGATATGAGATCTAACCTAGGTGTTTACTAACTTTTATAGCCCAGCTTGAGGAGTACTGAAAATTGAGTAATTATAGTTGTACAACTGCATTAGAAATATTTACCTCGTAATTTAGAAGATTTGGCACCAAAGTTGACCAAATCTATTTGATTTGGTCTGCCATTTATTCTGGAAAATTCTCTAACTAATTAAGAAGATTTCTTTGTGTAGCTAACTTTGTATTATAAATACAATCCGTGTATCATCATAAAAGATAATGAAAAATACATAATTTTCATTCTTCTTAAGGGATTTAGAAGTCAGGGAAATGTAAGGTATAACTATTAAGGTACTTAGAAGTTGGGAAAAAAATCTAAAGCATAAAGTACGAATAGTCGCTGGATGGTCAAATAGTTCCTAGCTTAAGTTGCAAATTGTAGATACTGGGAAAAGGAGGAGGATGATTGCAGGCAACTGCAAAATGTTAATTATAAAGTATTCAGGTGAATGGATCTCAGAGATCAAGCTCTATCCATTCTTCGGGAACTAAATGAAGATTTGATGAAAAATACAAGGATTAAAGAGACGATGGAAACCTTTTCTCATTTTCTCCAACAACCAAAGTATGCAAGACAAGTTTGAAAGATTCATAGCACTCAATCACAGCACATTTCATGTAGTCATCAGCACATATTCGTCGCCAGAGATCAGCATCCTTGGATCGAAATTGAGCTGCCATATCCAATGCAATAGGAATCTGTGTAGGAAGATAAATAGTTAACAAGTACAGTTCAAAAGAATTGGGAAGTTTAACAGGGCATGCACAAACCTTGCTTGCAAGCAAAAAGGGTGGCCACTGAATTAACTTCAGACTTGGATCAGATGTGTAAGGAACCAGCAACAGATCCATCTCCCTGTTTTAAGGGACGTAACGTTTAATTCTAGCAGTAAAGAGAACAAAAAGACAATCAAATGAACAAATGAGTAATTCATAGTTAGGATATCTTTCCTGTCACTGATAAGATCTTCTTCACGGAAACTACAAATTATTTCATTCCATAACTGAGCAAATTTAGCAGCTTCACTTCTCCTGCTTGCTGTAACCTATGCAGCAACAAGATAGTAATTATTTAAGTATTAAAACATGGGATTTGATCATCCCACCTCTTATAAAACAGCTGAGCAAAATCGTTAAGGAATATGACCTCTGCAAATCGTTTTGAAAAAGAGAATCCTCTTTTTCTTGACTTATCAGAAGGAACCAAATACGTGTTAAATGCACCGGGTAAGGACTGGAATCTTGACCTCAGCATTCCCAGAGTTCGTATCTGTATGAAAGAAAGAGAATCTAAATACCAGCCACAAAATACATCACAATCTTGAACAATATCAACAAACAGCATGTTGATTGTCACATTAATGACACGAATTATTGCAGACGGAAATTTAATTTTATCCAACATCTCCCATTAGATAAACAAACTTGTCATAAAATAAAAGAGGACAAACATTCATGCTAGTTATCAAGAGCTTCTGGTAGAAGCCCTGCAGATTATACTAAAAAATAGGAGGGAAAGTGTGGACACGAATGGATTTTCCTTAACTAAATGTATTTTTCTTTCTAAATGAAGAAAAGAAGAAAATATGAAGGAGGGATCTGAATGATAAGAACTAACAGAAGATGAATACCTCTCCAAGACGATCGAAGGCCCCAGTAATACCACCAGACAATGTTGAGAAAACAGAATACCAAATTTGGGTATCCATTAAATAAACCTGAAATATATCAAATATATTAAACCCCAAATGAAGCTGTATAAAGAGTTCACCAACAAAATGCAAAAACAGATAATACAAAATGAGGAAGGGTATAATTAGACAGACCACAACAATTGGTGCCCAAAGTGAGACTACTGCTCCATAGTTGTTCTTAGCTGCATTGAAAAGAGAGATATTAACAGTGATTCAGAATCCAAGTTCAGAGAGTATAGAAGAAAGGTATACAAACCAGAGAATTACCAGATGGAAAGAATTCATGCCATGTGTATTTGACGTGGCGGATGTTCATAATATCATTTGTTGGCTTCACCAATGGTTTTATCTGGGAAGGGACAGACAAAGGTTTAAAAGAGGCCCAAAATAGACCAAATTGCATCATGACTTAACTTTCCAAAACTAACAAACCTGGACAAAATAGTTGAATGCAAATTTGGAACACAAAAGTAGCACCCAGAAAAGAGTGTACCTGAAAAAAAAAATCACCCAAACAGTGAGGCAATTACCTAACAACTATAAGAGAGAAACCATTCACTTTGAACTTATTGGGGCATATATTCCCTGTTGTACTCACTTAATAAGTGAAAACTGACTTTCGTGCATTCCTCTTCCCACATAAATTCTCGGCTGCAGATAAATAAATGAATTTCATTGCACCAATGAAATAACAGTCTTAAAATATATGCGAATAAAGTACATGTCTAAGTGTGTGATTAACAATGCTCAGCATAATTCTTGTGTTTTTCTTAGTGAAAGAATAATATTAAAGTTATAAGAATTACAAGTTAAAGAAGGAAAAGCTATACATAGAAGAAATAAAAGAAAAAGGGAAAAAAGAAAAATTCTTTATCTATATGTTTAAACTAAGTACAGTAAACAAATGCAGGGTTGTTTCTAGAAACGAACGTTCTTTCTTCTTTTGATAAAAGACAGGCATTTTCGTTTTTACCATGGATCATTAGACCATCATAAATGTGTTTATAAGCTAAAGAAAAATGGCTGAGCCAGATATTATGCATCTATAGTTTACAACACTCAATAGCAGAAGTTCAATTGACATCTTTCTTTTTACATAATAAGCTTTTTCTCTCAATGTGTTCAAGAATATTACAGTGGTCCACTGTATTGAAAGCTCCTATCAGTTGGATCCTACTTTAGGTCACAGTTTATGGTTGAAATTGTTTTCCTTTTTTATCATTTTGATTACAATAGTTTGAATTCTGAATTATCATTCAAGGACTTGATTGAGAACACAACAGCAATCCATTGCATTGAGAGCCTCGTCTTTGCTGTCAAATGAGGATCTAAGATTGTTCGACTAGTTAGCATTAATTACAGAAACCCAGACATGACAAGAACCTCCAATAGCTAAATATAAGACAGAAGATGAGGTATATCATAATGAAAAAAGAAAAGCTCGTTACTTGTCAATGCATCAACAAGTACAAAGTATCATCTTTGCTGAATCTCAATATAGACAAACTAGTAATCCATTTCCTATTAGGGTTCTTTTAAACTTGTTGGTATCGACCCCACCTCGTTCTAATAAACAAGATAGATCAGTTTCTCATGCACCAAGAGCAGATCTAGTTGACTAATTGTCTTTTGGCTAACGTAAATGAGTTAATCTTCTCCTATTCTGGCAATTTGATGTCTTTTGTCTACTTTGTCCTAACAAGTTCATCCCATGGGATATTTCTTACCAGTTTACCAATAAGGGAAAATGAACATGACAACAGAAGGAAATGATTTGATAAAAGAAAAACAATTATTGTATACCTGTGACCACCACAAAAGGAACCTAACTATATGCCAGTCGGAGTTTTCAATCCAACGTCGGAGCATTGGGAAAATGAACATGACTGCTGCCAGCACATTTGGGAGCAGATATATTGCCACAGCCATGATATATAGAGGAGGAACACCCTTTATTTTAGGAAGAAGCCTCACCACATCTCTTAACTTTCCTGGGCCAAGAGATAGGGACTGTGCATAGCAGAGTGGAAGAATGATTGTCCATGCTAGGCTAACAATTACTTTGAGAATGTTTCTCAACACATCAGTGAACTTCCACCTGTGGTATCCGGGGAAGTTCAGAACAAGGTCCAAAATACCTAGAAAAAGATATTAGCCAAGATAAAAATGAGAACACGCAAGTATAAAACTGTTCCTAAACATTTCTATTAAAATTTACATGCTGAAAAGAGAAATAAAAACTAAACTGGAAGACATTTCTAAATTATTCACATGCCTAATTTGTACATTAACATTTTGACAGTTTCAAAAACAGTAGCAATCAAACAAAAGCATATACAAGTATGAAATTGAAACCAACAGAAGCACTAAAATGGAAGATCTCCATGAATAAAATATAATTCAATCATAAGTAATTTTAATACATATTCAGATTTTCAAAGAATATAATTTGTTGCTATTTTGCATTCTACATATTGCATCTAAATGTTGCAAGGAGTGGCAAGTTTGTACCAGAAAGGAAGTTTCTTACTTCAACATATGATTCCAGCCCATTTAAAGAAGTCCATACAGTGGTTAGTAACATGCTCAGAGACGAGATTCAAATCTTGACAGAATTAAATAAAAATGAATTTTTAAATGGAAATCTTTTGAAAGTAAAAATATAATATGCATCTGATATTAATCCAAATTTAATCTCGCAACAAGATCACAGTCTTTTAAAAATAGTCATATGTGTTGTTTCTAAGGAAGAGGTCAGCTTAATATTACAAATATAAATTAAGCAGATATGTCAGAATCTAAGTTCTTTTGCAATTTAAATCAAACTATTAGCTTAACAGCGTAGAGAAAGTGTAGGAGGGACAAAACAGAGGCATATTTTGACTTAAAAGCAAAACTAGTTCTACCCTTGAGAACATGAGAGATGGGCTACACAAAATAAGAGATGTGTTGAGTAATATGATTTACCCGAGTTGTCATAGTTTTACCATTTCTATGAGAATTACAAGAACTCCTTTTTCTTTTTCAATTTTTCCTCTCAGGGACACAGTTATCTTCATTCAACAGCAGAAACTATCCAAATATTGGCTAGTATTAGCAAAAGTTATGATTCATAAACTTGAATGATATTTTGGCAAGACAGACAAAAGAGTTCTAATTATTGTTTTTTTAAGAAACATATAAAGAAGAAGATCTATTAGAAAGAAATTTAATTGTTAGTCACTCAACCATCCACATTTTATAATAACTTTAGTAGCAAGTTTCTGTGGGACTTACTAGCTCCTACGCCATAGTAAGCAATCAAAGGCACATGCTATCACAGATCTATAGATTAATCTTATTAGCAATTAGAGTATAGATTCATACTTTGAAGAAAACGAAGAAAAGCCGCCGTAATAAAAATACTTGACAGTGAAAATAACGTATCCTTTTGCAAAATCTCCTTCAGTCCAACTCTATTAAATGCTAGGATGACCATTGCCTGCAATTAAACAGTAAAGAAACTGAAGTAGAGAGGCTGAAGTCATCAACAAAGCTGCTTTCAGTATAGAATTTCTCTCTGAATGAATACCTGGAAAGCTAATATGTAAAACGTCCACAGGCGATCAAAACTTCGGAATATGTGCCAATATGATCTAGTTTCAATGAAGTTTGATTTGCCTGTGCTTCCTACTTTTTTCCGAGGAGCCTTCCCTTGCTGGCTTAGAAAATAATGATGAGTAGAACCAATTAAGATGAGTAAAATTCTTACAAATGCTAAAAAAAAATATAGTACCTGTGACATGTCATATGTTGATTTAAAAAAGTCACCATCATCACGCATAGGCCAACCAAGAGAGAAGCAATCAGATGACCTAGACACAGCAGATTTAGAACAAAATTCTAGCTTAAACTATGAGATTTTCGAAACCACTAATATCCAGATGAATTTATTTTACATTGGGATATTAAATGCATACACACCAGAAATACTCATTCAGGTCATCATAATTGCACCAAGCTGTGTGTGAAGCCCTTCCATTTTTACTCTTCTTTGCTTCCTGGATTGTATTCAAGCTTGGCTTTCATAACTAAAAGCAAAACCCAAAGATTGATGATACTTTCCATAGTTGAATAATTACATACCTTTTCTACTACACGGTACAGGGGCGTTATAACCCTCCGCAGGAATGCCTCATCATCTCCACCATAAGAAGGTTTAATGTTTTCTCCAGTAACAATACTAACATTCCCAGCTAACAGTCCATGAAGTTCATATGCCATCTGAATATATATTATGTAAAAAGTATCAAATCTGATAGAAACACAAAGAAGGCAAAGAAGTAAATCCCCTATAAATTTATACTCACATTATGAAAAATGTAGCATAGGCACTCGGGCATAAATCGAATATTAGCTGCTTCACCCCAGATGAGAAGATATAAACCCATGTATAAGATTTTCCTCTGCTGTATCTCTTGAGGGCCTTGAGGTAGCCTGTACAGAAAGAAATTTGTATATTTTGTATCAGAATAGTTGCATAACTAAAGGAAGAAAAGGTTTGATTCATCAAGTAAGAACAGCAAAGAGAACAACCACCAAATCAATGCGAAAACCACTAATCTCACCGTAAACTGTGTTTTCTTCCTAAAAATTTGCACCAGGTTTTGTAATTCTTAAAAAGTTTGTTCATAACTGCGTCAATTGCTCGTTCATCAAGCTGCATATATAAAAGAAAGAGAATAATACCCTGTACATGGAAAGCAACTCTTTTTCTGAAGAAAAGAAACAAAAGAAAAGAGCATACACATTTAAACACGAAAGGGATGGAGCAAACATACAAAAAGGGGAACCAAGGGAGAGGTAGAAGACTATAGAAAGATATTAAACTGGATGTTTCTCCAAAAGACAGCATTGAGATGAATAGCAGATAAATATTTAATATGAAAATCAATTGAAATCTGACAACTAACAAACATGCAAAGACGAATACCCATCCATTTCAGCTACAAACTCCAGGTTCAGCACAACAAACATCTACAATGACATGCTTTTCATGTTGCCCTTATAAGTCATTCTTAAGCTTCAAAAGTTGCACAGCAATCAGTTTGTGAAGAAACAGAACATAAGAAATGAACTAACCTTGTTAAGAGGCTCAGGCTTGGGGCTTAGTCTTATATGATTATTGGCAAGTATCAAAATCAAATTCTCCCTTTGGTTCCTGACATTGTCTCTCTGTACCAAAACGAAGATTAAATCAGTTCTTCTATGACAAACACGCAATTGTATGAATTCAGCAGTTAAAACCTATCTGTCTCTCTCTGGTCAAAAAGAAACTTGCCTGGAATCCAAACATGGCCCTTAGCCAATCTAGCAGATCCAAGTTTCCAGTTTTCTGTCTATGCTGCTCAAATCCAGCAGGCCAGCTCAAGCCACGAGTGTTGCAAAGTGCAGCCACAGAAGCCTTAATCTGATATAACCAGAACAGCCCAATTGACAAACAAGCAAGGCACCAAGAAACAGGCAACTAATAAAAATGGAATTTAATTCATATGAGAATACCTCCTCAAGCTGCATAATAGATTGTGAACCTCCAGCCATATCCAGGGGAAGAATGTTATACGGCGCATAGATTTCAGTCTTTTCTTGGACATCTCTGGCAGCAGCAATAATCTGCTCATAAAGGACATTGCAAATATTTCTCATGCTCAAGAGAGATGATATATGAGTAGAATTACTACTTTCATGACAAGCTACAATGAATAGAGTTAGGCTCAACCTCGGGAGCAACTTCTTCAACTTTCTCTGTCTTGTTAACAGCACAGAGCACTTCAAAAAGCACTCCAGCTGTCTGATAGGCTTTCCCAAGCTGAGCTCTGTCAAGAAATTTGTAATCCTATTTAATCTAAGACATCTAGTCCACGTAAAGGAACAAACATACAAGAAAAATTTTACGATTTATAGGCAGAACAAAAAATAATGCATACCTGTCTGCCTGCTCCCCCTGATCGAGTGCTCTAACATAATGTTCATAGTATTGCTGATAATAACTCCCAATTTCCCGTGCATCAGTCTTTTTGACCCGTGAAGCAAGACTTGATGCATTGTCCTGTACAGAATAGACCACAGATTAGTTCAATGCTGAAAAAGGAACCATGACAAAGACTATATTCAAAAAACGTATTGAAAAACGGTACGTGCAACTGATAGTCTAATATCCTCGATGCGCCAAATTATTTCACAGAGGGAGAGGGAGAGGGAGAGGGAGAGAACCGATCAAATCGATTCTGTATTTGGAGAATATAGAGAACACTCGCTGAGGTTGAAAATGTCGGGTCTTAGTGCGAGGAAAGCGAGAAGCGAGGACTATATCAGACGAAAGGAAAGCAATTAGGTTGGAAGCCTAAACCCGATGAATTCCTCTCACTGAAGACAGGCCTGGAGAGAACCATCCGTGGTAGAGACTGGAACACGTGCGTTTTTTTTTTTTGCTTCCCAGTAATTCGTCCTATTCCTGTCTATTCAAAGCGTGATAAAATATGAATTGACCAAGCACAAATCATTTACCCTCTCTAATCTCTGGAGGAGAAGTGTTTTGAACTGTCTGACACCTCGCCCACTGGAACTCTGATCCAGCCTATGTGCTTTCTCGAACGCATAAAAGCGACCTTTTGAGGATCAAAGAAAATGGAAAACACAATGCACACAATTTTCAGACAACAAATAAAAAACAAAATTGAAGAAAACAAAAAACAATGAACACAACAAAAAGCATATGCAAATATAAGCCAAGGGGAAAGAGACTGAGGCAGTCTTCTCAAAAGAGATGGAAAAGGGCCGCAAAGAAACGGGAACGGTAAGGGATTGAGTGTAGTACAAAGATAGGCAACACGAGGACGCTCGTTTTCGATCTCAGTCGCCACGCGGAGGATAGGAGCGATGGAGCCTAAGGAGGCTGGGACGACCTCGTGGTCGAAGACCTCGGTGGAGAAATTGGTCATGGCAGCACTGCGTGACGGCCGCCTCATCAGGCCCTGCGGGCCCGACTCATGAGATGGCAAATTGTTTTCTGCCATCTTACTCTGCAAACAACAAAAATGGAAAACAAATGCACAAAAATGAATCAGAATGCGTTGCTATAAGAACTATTTGCGCTTTTGTTCATTGTTGCTGAAACGAATGACCCATGCGAAGAGAATTAAGCGAGCACTAACTCATGACCAAAAACAAAAAAATCAAGCACGACTCATTTCATATCAGTTTTTCAGCTAAAAGGCTCTTTTAGCAATTCGATATGCAAATTCTCTTTACCTGCATTTTCTCCTCAACTAACCAGAAACAAACAAACTTCGCCAATTCTCAACCCCACTAGAAACAACATCCGGCGATTAAACAAAAAAGCAAAACCGTCTACCTAATCTAAATTTAAATCAGCTAGCAAAAACACACCTATATCCAGTACAAACAATTTAAATATCAAATCGGCAATCACCACCAGCTATTCTCATTTCCTTCTCCATGCATTTTCTCGGCAACCAAACAGGCAGGAAACAGACATTTTTAAGCGCAAACAGAACTAAAGAAAAAGGACTCCTCGCATATGATTATTCCAGACTGTTTCCGAATTACATATTGCCGATAAAGCTCGAGAGTAAGAGAGAGAACGAGAAAAGGAATAGTAAATGTGAGCGGTTGGTGATTATTACCTTGTCCAAGGACGAGGAGAGACAATCGGTCTCTGCGCATGCAGAGGGAGGTGTATATCAAGAAAAAAAATATATAGAGAGAGATAATCGGTTAGTTATTTCAGTTTCAGAGAGCGAAAAAGAAGTTGGGCTTCGCTGTAACCGAGGAAGAAAGAAAAATTGAAGGAGAGGGAGGGAAAATTTTGGAAAGGTAAATCTGTACGGTTGAGCCTGCCACGTGGCAGTGAGAGGTTGAAGAGAGAGAAAAGAGAAAGAGAGAGAGAGAGAGAGTGAGGCGAACCGTTTTTGTAGGCGTAGGGGTTGGGTAATGTGCTGTCGTTTTGAGCGCTTCTTCATGATTAGAATTCAATGATGACTGGAGTCTCCGTTTTCTTCTGTTTTTGTTTTCCCGGCAACACTCTGCGTCTGATGTTTTTCTCTGTGTTTCTTTTTTGTTTTTTTTCTCCTGGCAGAGGGAAAAATTTGTTTTGACTTCCTTGACCTTTTAACGGAGCCGTTGACATTGGATGGGGCAAGATCTTGCGGGCCCCACTTTAGTGATTATAAAACTTCTAGAACAACTAGGTTTTTTTTCGAAGAAAATAATAAAAGTTCTAGGATGGTGATTTATGAAGTCTCTACACACTGCTAAATATTTCAAATAAGTAGAGGATTTTTTAAGTGTCAATTCTTTTTATAATTTTAATGCAAATAAAACAGAACAACAAAGAATTTAACATATTCTATCCAAGAATTTACGAGAAAAATTTATGTTTTACCGACATATTATTTTTATATGTATTGATGAATATATAATTTTACCAATATTTTAAATTTTTCTAAAAATATTACATAAATATGAATTATTTAAAATATTGTATAAATATAATTCACTTGAAACTATAAATATATATGAATTAATTTATATTCTGAAAATAATTTAAAGTTTCTCATCATCTAAAAAAATTACTCGTACATTTAATCTTTATAATCTGAGCATCATTATATATCAATCTTATACAAATTTAGCACTAATTTTAATGAACAATTAATTTTTTACTAGTTAAACATGTGTACATAATAAAACAAAAATCCATATTGAAAAGTAAAATATCTGATCATAAATAAATCTTAGTGGGTAATCTTAATTAATAAAAAAATATAATAGTATAATTAATAAATTAAAATTTCTTATACTAATTAGTAGTAGAAATTATATAAATTATTTTATATAACAAACTAAAAAATAACTTTAGGACCTTAATTCAACCTGTTTTATTAAATGAATATTGTTATAATAGATTCAGTTAATATAAAAGTTGAAAGGGAGAAGGTAATTAGAGAAGATACTCGATAACGAAAAATAAAATAAAAATGAAAAAAAAATAGGGGTGAAATGAAAAATAAGAGCTTTTTATTATTGTTGTTTATAACGATTAAGAGGAATCTATCTTAAACTATAAAGGAAGTAAATGATAATAATAAAATGGTAATGTAACAGCCCCAGAAATTTAAAAGAAAATGCATATAATAATTTGAATGCGAAAGTAAAATAAATGTTAAGATTAACATCCCTTACACGATAACTCAAAAGTAATAACAAATATCACAGAATAAATTATCTGAAAGAAATACGAGAAATGAAAAAAAATAAATGAAATTATAAAGTATCTAGCATCTATTCGTAGCCTTCTTGCGGATCAGGTTGGGGAACCGGGTCTTCCTGATCTAAAATGGTTAAATAAGATGTGAGCTACACTACCCCAATAAGGACATCACACTATATCGTCGACATAGAAGTAAAGATTGGTAGAAAACTAAAAACAACCAATGAAGTACTAAATTTAAACCAATACATTCATTAAAAGTAAAACCACTTACTCTTTTACTTACCATTGTAGAATTTATGAAAACAACTTATAAAGACAATAACATCATACAGATCATAACTTCATGCACAATCAGTAACATAGAACATATCATATATTCATATTCATTAACAATAACTAAATCATAACTGTTTCTCGTTTCACCAGCTTACTAGTATCCATGGGGATCCATAGGGGTGTCACCGCTACACGTGAACCATTTCCCTTAACAATCTTAATTACAGAGCCGTCTCCATACCCCGTCCAGTATGAGCGACAATATATAAAACCTCAATACCTCGTCCGGTATAAGGGTGAAGTGGTCGTCCCCATACCCTGTCCGGTATGAGTGTCAAATTACTAAATCTCATTACCTCATCAGGTATGAGACAACGTTCACAATAGGATTTCCTATGAACTCGGTCTGTCCATCATCTCCCAAGATATCTAGTGAGCCTGTCATCTTATCTGTTTATTAGATCACACATTTTTCTTGTTTTTCTTTAGTCTTCGTTACCAAATCAAACACAATCACATAAACAATGAACATGCACCCGGTAATGCAATCATATTTTAAATTTCAAAATCACACAATGGTAAAGTAAAGTAGTGATACATGCATTTAAAACCATAAAATAGATAAATTAGATACTATCATGCTTTTACACTGTAAAATAAATTAAAGAAAAGAATGTCCGGTTCGGGCTCCATTAACGATCCGTAATTAATTATGCACATCTATTTAATTTTTACAAAAGACCATATTATCATTTATTCAAACTCCAAATCCATGATAAGAAATAGGGTGAGGGGTTTTTACTTGATTCGACGTCAAAAACTAAATAGTTACTGCGCCTACGGGCGGTCCCTGAGTTTCCTGAATTTTTATTCGGAAACTGAAATGCGCTTACGGTACCTACACATGTCCCAAATAACCCAAAAATTATATCCAGGTCCTACTCGGCCAATTTCGAAATTCTGACACGGCAGCATCGCCACGCTCCGGTGATCTGCCTCGGGTTGGCTGTTTTCAACCGAATTTAGCCGAACTTGCATCAGTTCCTACGAGAAAACATATTTAGGGCCCTTGGTGGACCGAAAAAATATAGAAAATCGAAACTCACCGGTGATGGGGGTCTCCGATGCGGCAGCTCCTTCGACTCACGTTGCAGTTGTGTGTTTTGCTCTGGTCAACCTGTAGAGAAGGAAACGATGGTCACAACGGTGAAAAAATCACATCGAACGGGAATCGGAAAGGGCCTCATTGGAGGTATTTCCTGAAACACCCCGCGGCGGCGTTTTTGGACTAATTAGTCGGTTCTTTCACTTCGATTTGGCTATGAGTGGGTTTAAAATTTAAGTTTGTGCAAGAGAAATTTTTTTTACCTCATTTAGCGGTCGAAAATTGCTCCGATACGGCGGCAGGATGCAAAGGTCGGCTCCCCGGCTGCTGGGCTGTCTTCTCCAGCGAAGGGCTTTGGCGGCTAGGGTTAGGGCTTGGGTGTGGATGAGGTTATTTATACCAATCCGCTTTTGATATGAGCCGTCCATCACTTTTAATCTGGACCTTCTGATTGCGATTAAATAGAGAGTGAATCTGGACCGTTCATCGCGATTCAATCTAGACCATCTGTGAGCGATCTAATCTGGGCCGTCTGTGCGCGATGCAATCTGGCCGTCTGTGCGCGTTTTGAATCTGAGCCGTCCGTACGCGCGGGAACGGATCTCAGCCGTTCAATCGCGCGCACGCGGATCGCCCACGTGGTTCCCCCTGCGTGGCCTCCCACGTCAGCGCCTCTGCCACCTGACGCGTCCCGGTTCTTCTTCTTCGACCAGCGGAGGCTGTTAGAATTAGGGTTTGGTGTAAAGTGAAGTATTTATATCTGTCTCTTTTTAATCTGGGTCGTCTATCATATTTGATCTAAGTCATCCATCGCATTTGATCTGGGTCGTCCAATCGCGTTTAAATAGGAAATGAATTTAAATTGTTCATCGCGATTTGATCTGGACCGTATGATCACATTTAAATAAAAAATGAATATGTACCGTTCATCGCGTTTAATCGTGACTGTCAGATTGCACCTGATGAGGGAACGGATCTGGGCCGTTCATACATGCGGGAATAAATCTGGACCGTCTGATCGCAGGCACAAAAATTGCCAAGTGTGGCCTCCCGTATGGCACCTCGTCAGCGTGCCTTGTCACGTATCGTGCTCTGATTCGTCGGTGCTGCTGATTGGGCAGTTCTACGTGACACATTTCTTTTTAAATTACGTTTTGACCCCCAGTTTCCAATTTTTCTTTCAAAAATACTCCTAAAACCCAAATTTTCACCATTTTTTCCAAAATTATTTTCAATTTCATCATTCACCTATTTTTCTTAATTTTTACATTAAATAAAAAATTCATAAATTTAAAATTTTTATTTTATACATTAATTTTAAATATTTTAAAATTATTTTGGAGTATTACAAAAATGATACTTTGGAGCTAGTGCAAGTTTATAAATGTAATGCTAGTGGC